ACACGCTTGTGTAAAATTTTTTTAAAAATCAGTACAAAGGGCATGTTAAGAGCTAAGATGTGAAAATTATCAGCTTCCGGCTGGTAGCCATTCCCCTTATTTATGCCTTCCCACAGATTGCTTAGGAAATGGCAAAAATCCTATTTCAGAAAATTCTCTGCGTGCAACGTGTACCTTGGGTAGGGTCCTGGGAAAGGACACAAGTGGAAAATCTAGTGAAATCTGAATGAAGTCTGTAGCTTAGTTAATAGTAATTTACCAGTCTTAAGGTCTTAATTTTGACAAATGTCTATAGCTGCATGAAGTATTAATGTAATATTAGGGGAAGCTGGGTGAAGGGTACTATCTTTGCAATGGTTTTATAAAACTGCATTAAAAATAAATCCCAATTCTGAACTCTCATTTCCACAACATACCGGGAAAGTAGGAGTCGGCCTGTGATTCAATCATCACTAGTGAGACTGGATGACTCAGGGGGAAGGTAGTGAAAGGAAGTTGGCTTTTTTAAGTTCTCACCCTCGAGCACCCCTAACTATATTCAGTCGTCACTCCCCAAGCCTGGCCCCGTCCCTGGCCTCTCTCCCCTGCACAGCTGCTCTTGTGGCTCTGTTACTATTTAATGACACATTGGGCTTGGCTTTGCCAGGCCTTTCTCTGACCTCAGTTCGTTGAGTAGCTGACTTTTTCTCCACGTAAATACCTCCCGCCCTGAGTAGCACGCTGCCCTGCCCCCCACCCATCTCTCTCTGTTATTGTGTCATGGTTTTACCGTCTTCCCACATCAAATCATCTTGTTCACTCACTAGTTGACCTCATTAATATCTGCCTCTTCCTCTCCAGGCAGTAAGCTCCCTGGAAACAAGGCCCTTGCTTGTTTTGTTCACTGCTGATCCCCAGGGCCCAAAGCAGCACCTGGCACAGAATAGATATTCTTTTAAGTAATGAGTGAGTACACTTCTTGAGAGAAAGGTTTCTGTTATGTGCTTCTGGACCCTGTCCGGCTCCTGGAACCACTGCAACAACAGTGACTCAGAGAACAGTGGCGATGCTCCCTGAAATGATGTCTCACTCCCATATCCATCAGCTCCCTGAAGAAGACATTCCCTAAGCACCTGCCTTCTGCTTGGAACAGTGCAAAACACAGAGAATCATAACCTGGTCCCAGAACCCAAGCCACAGGAAGGGGGCGACACCCCACTTATTTGCAGTAAGGTAGCACTTTTTGAGTTCCCATACACCATAGAGCGGTCAGCCTCACAGAAAACAGCATTCGAAAGTTCCCAGAGGCCTAAGGCAGTGACTGACAGTCAGTTATTTCTTCCTCAAACTCTAAGGGGCTTGTGAAATGGATCCGATGTCTTTTCCCAGTGAAGGGGTTTTTTAAATTTTGTATGAAAAGAAACTGCTCACAAATCTGCTTTTAATTTTACAAATACTTGTCTATGGTTTAAGGATCTCAAGTAAGATTGGAAGAATGGTAAGGGTAAGGCATGGTCCATATTAAATTTAAATGTTTCTGGCAGGGAGCGAAAGGCAGCGTGTCCGTCCGCGGCTCCGCCTGGGCACAGTGGATATCGAAGGAAGGCCCCCGTCCCCGGTGCCATCTGCTCTCAGAGCAGGGCGTGGCCCAGTCATGTGCTTCCTCTGTCAGTGCAGAGTTTGCCATAACGGTTGGCATTTCTGTCTTCTCCTCGTAAGCTCTGCAAGCCCCGTGAAAGTGAGCTGCGTTTATCCTGTCCACCGTTCTAGTCCCAGCACTTAGCACGCGCCTGTCACATGCTCCTAGGATAAATATTCTCAGAGTAATTGCTAAATAAGTGAATAGGGATGGACCTGGAGAATATTATGCTGAGTGAAATAAGCCAGGCAGAGAAAGACAAACATCACATGATCTCGCTTATACGTGGAATCTAAAGAACTTAATAAACTGATGAACAGAATAGATTCAATGACATGGAAGCATAGATGAGGCTGAGGAATGTCAGAGGGAGGGAGGAGGG